CATCATCAACAGCCTATAAATGCCCACTGCTGAGCAAAGCCTCTTCTCACACGGAGAAGGTTAGAGCATTAATCACCACGCTTGCTCAATGCGGGTTGGCGATTACAAACTTATAATTAGAAATTATAAGTTCAGGTTTCCTCACGATGTTTTTCCTTCACCGTTTGTCAGTGGTGTCTAAATAATCTTAGAAAGTACATATAACTCGGAAAAAGTCACATTGGTACTTGCCGTTGGTAGGTTTCGAACCCGCACCCTCATGCATGAGAAGTGGGCGTCTTAAACCTCCGGGCCACCACGACATATTAAGATTATTGTGTACGATTAATAAAATACTAGATTCTGCCCGCGACTTCGTACGCACAATACCATTTTCTCTAATTCCCGTAGGATTTTCAAGATTTTTTTTCTATCATAAGAACCTCCTCCTAATAATAAAGTAACAACAAAAATGAATTAGTGAAATCGGTCCAGCCAATCACGCGTGATGCCGTGACATAGGGAAAAAGAGATTCATTTTTAGGCAATTAGTTAGTTTATATAATAAATAATGTAAATATAAAATGGCTTTGATGTTTTGAACATGAATCATAATAATTTACTTACTGTTTGAGTTACATACAAATAATTCAATTTTGATTAACGTAATGGAGATTTGAAAGTTTAATACATGCGGTTGTTGTCGTTGGTACCTAATTATAATTTTGATATTAGGTACATATATAACGTGGTATTTCATATTTTAATGTTATGAATTTTGATATTATCGCATAAAAAATGATTAAAAAAAAGATAAAATCTCAGTAGTAACACGGTGACTGGAATTGTGCTCGGTATATGGCAATAGGCTCACCCCCCATTACATGGGACTCATAACATAAATAGTGATAAGTGGGTGTTACATTGTACAGTGACATTAAGTGTCGTAATATGCACCTCTGATCCCCTTCAGGGATAAAAGGCGTGATGTTATATTATAAATGTTTGTTTTCTAATTTATGTTTTTACGCATTTAATTTAACTTATAGAAAATAAGAATTGTAGGTATATTAAATGAAGTATAATTTCTACGATTGTAAAATCTTACTATATAATATTTATTACACCTTCCACTTTCAACTCATCAAACCGAAAACCAATTTTCGATTTTATACCAAAACAAATTGAAATCTTTAGTTAGAGATGGCGTTAAATATTTTATTCTCTCTCCTATAAAATAAAAGAACATAAAATTAAAATTTAACACATAAAAGTGACCGCCATTTTTCCCACAGCACAAATATTGATTGACCTGACCTCCAAGACAGACATTTAACCACGTTCGCGCGGCGCGAGTTTCCATACAACCTTTCAAGTCCAATTTCATGAACTTGGAAGATTGAATTTGAATCTTAATACCATCCATGGAAGGTACCAACATTTTAATGAAACTTGGTACTCTTATAAAAAGTTAGTTAAGGTGTTTTTTGGCCTACTCACGTAAATATTTAACGAGGAACTCAATTAGTTTCAAGCCATGCCAGAGGCTTATAATAGAGTGATTCTTAAGGAATGTTTATATGTAGAAGTATAATATATGCATATTACACCCGTGCGAAGCAGGGGCGGGTCGCTAGTAACAAATATTTCAAAAACGTTTTGAATTACCTTTATTTATTAATAATAATTAAGTAGATATTGTTCATAATATTAGGTATGGTACCGAGTTTTATTTCCAACTAGCAGCGACTTCGTCTGCGTCAATATGAGTTTTAGGGTATACTTTTTTTGTTTAAATTTTCCAAGAAAAATACAGCGTATATTACTCGTACATTAGCTACCTGCCAGTAAAAGACCTGTCAATATCGGTACAGCCACTTCAGATATTAGCCAGTGTAAACAGACATACGGACAGACAAAAATTAAAAAAAAGTTAGGTACTTTGGTATTGGTATCGTATATGTATAAGGGCCGATGCCGATTCGGAGTCGCAGAGAACCTAACGGGTAACCGGGGCTCCGGCTCGACGTGCAGGAGAAGGAACAGGGTGGTTTTTAGTCAGTAAGAGTCTGACACTCCCTCCCGCCTCACCCAGGTGGGAGCAGTCATTCGATAATTTTCCCCCTTAAAAAAAAATCGTATATATATTGTATATGCATGCAGGTAGTAAAAAGTGATTATTTCAATATCACAAACAGACACGATACAATTTTATTTATTTAGAATTTAGACTTCAAAGTTTGTATGGAAATACTCCCCGCGTAAACGTGCTTAAGACTGAGAAACTTCGAATCAGCCACTTAAGTGATTAAAATAACGACCCGTTAAATATTGGAAACCAAATTGTAAGGTAATTTTATTTGCGTGCGAATTTTTATTTACATTCACATTAAGATTGAATGATTTTGCTGCCAGTTGTTATATTTGTTTTGGAAGTTTTTTGCTTAGGTACAGATTATTGAAAAAGTTTTAGCAATAGTATTTATTTACTCACAGGTATTTAATAACTTATTTCTTAGTAAATTAGGCTACAAAATATATATTTTTTTATTTCGAAATATAATATGTCAATATAATAACGTGAGACATACTAAATTAACTATAAATCTCGGGTTACAAAACCAACGCAAGCGCCAACGCTTGCCAGTAGGCTGCGCGACTTCGGTGCGACCGCGCACGGTGCTAATGAGGAAGAGCTCCTCTGGCTCCTCTGGCTCGAAACTAGTAGAGCTTTCTCAGTATATTCGCGTGAGTAGCCCGCTATTTTTAGTTAACAACATGTCAGTAGTCAATTGTATCTTAAAATGTTATTCATTAATTGTTTGCCTACCTAATTATTAATCGGTTACCGATGACAATCTCAGTGGCGTTTATCCCGTTCATAACTACTGCTAAAGATTATAATGACTGTTAAAGTAACTATTACTATAACGTTCTAGTAATTTATATTGTTCTTTGAACTTACGTAATTACTTTACTATATGTTTGCCAAGCTCTAAGTTGGATTAGGAGTTAATGAGGCTCGCAATACTGCATAATTACAGCAAAAGTCATGTAAATTCGTATTAATAAGCGTACACTTTAAAACCGTACGATGCTTCACAAAAGAGTAGGTCTCTAATAAATAAGTATATGTTCAGTCTCTAATTATCAAGATTATTGAACGATAATACCTAAAAATACCTTCTTTAATTAAAAATTGTAAACTTAATCCATTCAACTTAGTAATTAATCAATCTATGTACTACATTTTTAGGTTTAATTTTGAATGACTTTATCATGAACTGTAATGATTAATCTTAGCAGAAGCAATTGGCGAATTAATCATTTTGAGCATCTTACTTGTGGATGATTAATTTATATGTACAACTATAAATTAGAAATACACTTGAATTTATCAATTTTTAAACAACGCGAGGAGGCTTTCGCAGTTCCTTTTTTTATGCCATAAGCCGTTAAAGATCGGTTAAGACGGATCACCTGATGTTAAGCAATCGGCGTCGCCCATGGACACCTAGAACACCAGAGGCGTTACAAGTACGTAACCGGCCTTTTGAGGATTAGGAGTTTGAGGATCGTTGGGGATTCAGGAATTGGGGAGATTGGGGAAGGGGAGGGTAATTGGGCCTTCGATAACCTCACTCACACGACGAAACACAACGCAAGCGTTGCTTCACGTCGGTTTTCTGTGAGGCCGTGGTATCACTCCGGTCTAGCCGGCCCATTTGTGCCGGCATGGCTCTCCCATACTTTAATAATAACTGGTTCGTTTTTATAAAATAAACTCGTTTTTATTCAGCTAACTAACCAGTGATTAATAATACTTATTGCCTTCAAATCTATTCAATTTTCTGCTTAATTGCCAAGGCGTGTCTAATTATAAGAGTATTGTACGTCTGTCACTTATTGAAGCTACTCTCAAGCCTTTAGGCGACTTCATTTTAACAGTGCTTGAACTAAACAGTCAGGTCAATGAACTAAGTTTAATAAAGAATTAAATAAAAAGAATAAACTAAATGTCACTCACTGTTAAAATCTATCAAAAACAAAAATAAAAGCAGGCTTGTCTTCAACGAAAATAGAAACTACTTTCAGTTTTTTTATAAATTGAAATCCTTGTTAAAGTATTTTGAACTTTACAGAAGTTATTTTAGGGAACAACACGTTAAAAGGCTTAAAAACGTAAAATACTTTTCGGGTACAGATTTTTTTGACGTTGAAATGAAGCAGTAAATTCCCTACCGACATAAAGGACTCAGATTACTTGGAAATTTTGTCAGAAATATTTTCTTTCTGCTATATCTGAAGCTTTCCCAAAAGACCTATGGCAAACCTTACGCCTTTTACAGGATTAATAAATACTACACAAATATTTAATTTGAACAATGGTTTTGCTAAATACCTGGAAGCAAATTGTTTTATGATGGTCGTGGAAGTTATAAAGTCACAGTACTGTACACGTTGTTTTGTAATAAGGTTGAAAAAGTAAGAGTAAATTTGACATGGTTGCATATTGTGTGCAATACAGAGTTTGAATAATATTGATTCCATTGTAGCAAAAATAAATTTGTAACTAGCAGCCCGTCCCGGCTTCGCACGGGGTAGACAATTATTTATTTTTGGAAATTTGGATTGTTGTAGTGACATAACTACAATAGTTGGACATATGCTACCGCGGAGTTTTTGTAGACATTATGATGTTCTTCAATTTTGTTGAACATTATTTTGTTCTATCGCTAATAGTTTCGGCAGCGCATTCGACGAAAGATATTTTAAGACTCATTTTTCTACACCTTTGGTTACATTGTTCAAATTTTACCAAGAATTTATATTTTTTTCAAAATGAAATGTAGCCTATGTCAAATAGGAAGAATGTAGCATTCCATTGGCGAAGCATTTTTTTAAATAGGTACAAACCTTTCCTCTTTATAATATTGGTATAGATTTACCTCATTTGTTCTGAGATTTGTTTACAAAATATTTGTATAACTATTACTGACCCAATTATTTCTAAATTCCAGGAGAACAAAACCTACTCACTATGGGTGACAGCGAACGACGGCTCCATACCACAGAAGTTAGAAGTCTACGCAACAGTCTCCGACAAATCTGGCAAGAGGCCGAAGTTACCTCATCCACTGAACTTGAACTTCCCTGCCTACCCCAGCTTACCTATACAACCAAAGTTTACGAGGACAACACAAAGCACTACCAAAGCAACTCATATTTATGTAACAGTACCTGAAGTGACTACGTCACTGGCTACTCTAAGTCCTCCAAATCCTCCTGATGATGTTCCTGGGGGTATGAATATAGTTCAGAACGATGATGGAACGACCAGTACCGAAGCTCCGAATAAGAATCCTACGAACAACGATGTACCATTGACGATGGTGCCTCTGGTGGCGATAGGAGCTCTCGTAGTGATTGTCGCTGTAGTCATACTCTTCGTGTGCAAGAAGAATAATGCTCAAAAGAAGGATAGTAAGAAGGATGATATGGTAAGAGAAATAATTGTTGTACATTTTTTATTCATATAAACTAAGCGATAATCTTCTTTGGGTACGAATTACAGCACAGTTGACTAAATCTAGAATCCATTAAAACAATATATTATCTTCAAAGCGTGATTGTAGAATAATCCCTTTGTTTTGGTAAAACAATAACTTCTTAGATATAATAATTACAAACTATATAAATAAGAAGATTACTTATTCTAACATTTAATAATAATTATCGTGAGACATACGTTTGTAAACGCACCCACGACACAGGAGATAATCCTAGTGTGGGGCAACGTTTTTTAAAAAAAAAACTAAATTAACTAATAATTGCGGGTGCCACACGTCAAAATACTGAGAAAAGTTCTACTAGTTTCTAACCACAGAGGAGTTCTTAGTCAATTAAAACTTAGCGTTAATGAAAT